AAATTATTACAAACATTAACCAGAGGACATATTCACAGATTTTAGCTAGAATAAGAATAGTACAATATATAAGGCATATATGTACATAAAAGTCACTTATTAATAAATAGCTGAAAAAGAACATGTGCAAGAAGGGTGTAGCAGTAAACATGGATGAGTTGTACAGGGACATGGCCACAGGTTCAGTGGTGCTTTTCGGTAATCTCAGTCTCTCACTGAACGAGCTCCTGTGACTGACCAGCATGTCATGGAGTGGGTGGGAGGTGTTATCCAACATTGTCTTTATCTTGGACAGCATCCGCCTCTCCGACACCACCTTGAGGGAGTCCAGCTCCATCCCCACAACATTGCTGGCCTTACGGATCAGTTTATCGAGTCTGTTGGCATCTGCGACCCTCAGCCTGCTCCCCCAGCATGCAACAGCATAGAGGATCGCACTGGCCACAACAGACTCATAGAAAATCCTCAGCATTTTCTGGCAGATGTTGAAGGACCTCAGTCGCCTCAAAAAATAGAGACGACTCTGGCCCTTCCTGTAAAGTGCTGTGGTGTTTTTAGCCCAGTCCAGTTTATTGTCAATGTGAACTCCAAGGTATTTATAGTCCTCCACAATGTCAACACTGACCCCCTGGATTGAAACAGGGGGTCAGCGCTGTTGGCCGTCTTTTTCAAGACCTCTGCAATTCCCCCCTGTGTGCTGTCAATCAACTTCAGGGCCAAATCCTGACTGATGTGACCAATGACTGTAGAATCTTTCATAATCAATGTTTAGAGTTTGTCACAGTTTGTGGGTTTTTGACAAACTAGAGCTGAATTCACTGACTGAGCAGAAAAACCGGGGGAGTTGAATATGGAGAGAAATCTGCCTCAAAAGTGTTGCAAATGCACATGATATGATCCACAAGCATAAACAAAGACTTACAAATGTGCACAATGATTTGTGTATAACCTTTGAGGGCTTGCAGGAATGTGCTGACCACATGTATAACTACTTTACAAATGCAACTATCCAAACCTAAATAAATACTGATGATTCCACACCAGTTATTACGTTCAGCTTCACAAATCTGGCCTTTTTCTCTTTCAAAACCCCGTCTGTGCCGGACCTTTGCTTCAAATGGACAAGACAAGAGTAAAGCCCTTTACACACCAAGTAGATAAAACATTTTCGAGGTGCAAATATTTTATGTGTGTACACACTGACAGCTTTGTCCTCAGGAAATGAACTGCAAAAAAAGCTCTGTGTAGGTCTTTGGTTGAGTCATGGACTAAAATGACTCAAAGGATGGTTGGTTAATAAGCTGGAGTGAAAGATTACTGCTCCTGTTCCTCAGTTTGTGCTTTCAGACCTCTGACAGTTATTGTGACTAACTGTCAGTGACTGGCAGTGTTGATTCGTTTAAGCTAACACGTTCATCTCCCTGTAACCAGGTTGCTCTCCTCACCTCCAATTTGTGGAGCACATGCTCTAAAAACACCAACACAGCTCTTCACATAATCCATTCTTCTACCACGGTGTAGAAAGGAAGAGTCCTACCCCGTGGTAGAACCGTCTAGATTTGTGTATGAATAAGTGTGTTTTTGCATTAAACATTATGGGACAAAAGATTTCCTATATGTGTCTTGGTGATAGCAGAGATGAATCAGGCTGTTTAGATGGAGAGGTGCTCCATCTAAACATTTATGCAGAAGGTCAGAATTAACTTTACAACTACAAAATAAAGTTATACCCATTTTGAGCATGTTTATTTCTCTCTCTTTCTCTATTGACCAACCTAGAATGTAAGTGTTGATTATACCTTTACCCATGCTTGTGCCTGCACTGACGGAGGATAACCAGCCAACAACCAAGTCTCACATAGGTGTAGGTGTGGAAGACAATGTTCTTCTTTGCTTGTCAATTAAAAACACTCAAGAAAAGCAACGTAAAACAAACTAAAACTGTTCTAAAACCTTGTTTTAAAACAGTTACTGATTTCTGTTCATCATATGATGATCAAAACTGGTTTTACTGGCCAGTTATGATGTAGTGTAATGAAGGTCCTACTCCTGACAACACTTTATACAGTACAATTGTGTTGAAAATAGGAGAATTGAGGCAGAGATGAGGTGCAGACCAGCCGCGTGCTTATTCACCAACACTGACGGCCACTAAAATGTAACACAAACAATGCAGCCCACTGGTGGGACATCTGATGTTAACTGTAGTGATGGTCTGTGGAGCTAAAGTGTCATAAAGACAGTGCTTCAGAAACACTGTGTCGAGGCTGAGGTCGGCTGGCCAGAGTCACGTGACTAATGACGTCCAAAGCTTCATCCTGTATGTCACTGCTTCAGGATCTGATTCAGTGCTTTATAATCAGGTCCTGAAGCAGTGACACAAGGAGACGACTCATTGGTGGTTACTTTGGTGATGATTTTGGTGAACCAGTGTATAACACACACACACACATATATATATATATATAACTAATTAATGTGCATAAATGTGCATAAACAATAGACCAGAGAAGAATAGAGAAGCTGCTAATAGTCAAAATAGGTGAAACAACTTAATTTAAAATATATATTTCTGCATTTCTTTGTGTCTGACGGTGTTGACAAAAACCTTGCACTGCTCCAGCAAAAACATAAATTATTAAAAAATGTTACACCTGGGAGATTGTACCAAAACATGGTGAGACAGCCAAAACTTTGTGTAACAATTATATGTAAATATGTTTTTGAAAAATCAAAAAATATATTTTAGAAAATTAAAACCTGTTTTGTCCCTAATCTCAGGAATCACTGTCTAACCTTAACCAGCACTTTAATGACGTTAAATAGTCTTTTCCAAAGTAACTTTGAGGAAAATGAACGAACATGTGTAGATTGATTCTAAACGGTTCTCGTGTTTCCTTATTTTTCCGATCTCGTCAGGGACGTGTTGGGTGCCCGGAAGCATAATATGTTGACGATTTGTCACCTATTGTAAAATATTACGCTTTGGGAGTGAGAACGTGTTTTGTATTCACACATCAAGTAGTGCAGATACTTTTCTGGGCCCAAAGGGATTTGCCTCTTTTCCAGGGATCAAATAGGGATTCCTGTCAGGAGAATGTGTAAACCTTTACACTGTAGAACTTTGTTATTTGAGTTACTGTTGCCTTTCTTTCAATGAGGCATTTTTGTTTTGGGGTTGAGCGTAGAGCGTTCATGAGTTGTCTTTATAAAAAGACAACTCATGAACTTAAGATGATTGGTGAGTTTTCTGTAAAACGAAAGGGAGTTTGGAAATCAAACCCAGGAATCTTTAAGTGTACAGAGGTTATTCATAAAAAGCTTTAAACTTAAATGACGTGTCGTAACTTGATTTGTTTTCAGGGTAGTTGTTTAAAAAGTAGTGAGGAACACACACACACACACACACACACACACACACACACACACACACACACACACAGAGGTGAAGTGGGGAGAAGAATTGGATGACACACAATGAGGGACAGAGGGAGGGACTGGATTACCATAGAAACTGCTCTGACTGCTCAGAGAAGCAGGCAAAAAGGTGAAAGCTGTATTGGTCCAATCGTCAGGGTCACAGATCAACCAAGCCGCTCTGCTGATGACTGATTGCAGCTAATGTTCACTTGTTGTTGAAATACAGGGAAAGGTTGCAGTCGTGGTGTCAATCACAGCTGCACTGCAGTCATAGCCTTTTGGATGTTTCTGCAGTTTCTCAGCTATTCTGATGGGCAACGGAATAGAAGCCATATGGAGTAAGAGTCATCGCTGGCAGGGGTAAGCTCTTTGTCTTACAGCAGATTGTAGTGATGCAGGTATTTATGAGTTTGATGCTGTTGCATTTACACAACAAGTAATGAACCTCCAGACATGGGAAAATTGTTATTTTTGTTCCAGAACATTTTCCAAAGCAGTAATATCTTCTTAAACATCCATTCAAAAACACATTTTCTTACTTAGCCTTATGTAACTGCATGCCTCACTCTGGAACTACACTCAATATGAGTTCAGAGGCAAACGGTTTGAGAGTTTTAGGCTTTTCCAGAAGCTACTTTTTATATCTAATTTTTTCCTGATACTTAATGTAAAGATTGGATTCAATCAACACCCATACAGCATGAAAATGTGTTAGCATATCGTGTTCCATCATGCTATTATGATTAGACAGAACAGTTCAGGTGTCTGCAAACTGTTCTTCATAGTTCTGAAAAATGTAAGGGAGCTAACAGAAAAGTAAATAAAGAAGCACCAAAAGTTTATGGGGTGTTGCAACATGCTTTGCAAAAGGAATAGCTGCAATATACAATCTTTGTGATTTGCAGGAAACATGTATTTCTGGCACATATCTTTGTATTGTATAATTGTGAAAGACTCATGAAAATGTTTTTCATTTGTCAGTGGATACACATTTTCTTGTGTTAGGCTGGCTTTGTGCACTTTTATATTTTTGAAAATGTCATATATCTGAGAAAGCTACAGATCTGAGACACATTAAAAGTAAGGCGCCACCAGAAACACCACGACACATTTATGGCCTTGAAACTAATGCTTCAAATATTGAACCTATCGTCACACTTTCAAGATATATTTATTCCCCTTTTCGGTGTTTGATACAAAAACGTTTTCTTACTGAACATTAGTTTAGATGCAGATGGTCATTTTAACTCGAAACGAACATATTCCTTTAGTTTACTGGAACTCTATAACAAACTAATATGCAGAGGTACACCTGATGTGACTCTTTCAGTGAAGAAACTACAATGTTGCCTGAGTGAACCCTGTTTAGTTAGAAACTGTTGACTTTGCTGATGCTGTTGCTGACTGCATGACATGAAATTACTCAGGGATTGTGATGACAGGAATGGGTAATATGTAATCAGTGGAGTGAGAGAGACCAATGTACAGAGGGATGCATAAAGACACGTAGGGAAAGTGTGGTTACTTATTGCTGAGTTAATGGAGTGAGAAGGATCTGAATCAGCAACATACCCTTGTACACAGGAAGGCAAACAAGCACTGCGAATGAGCAGCATACAACAGGGGGACAAACAGATTGTGCAAAGGCCCCAGTGAACAGTTAATGGGAGGGGTGGGGTTGGAAAGCAGTAGCTCTTTATTATATTGCCCTCAATATAATAATAAGATAAGATAAGAGAACATTTTTTAAAGGACTTTTATGCTTTTAGCTATAGATAGGTGGCAGATTTAGATTGCAGGCATGGTTTTATTGTAAGCTGATGCAAAGTTGTTCTGAGCAAACAGCGTATGAGAAAACGTTTCTGTTTCTGATGGGAGCAGATCCTTTTACAAACACAGTGTCTCCATCCTTAGAGGACGAAAGTTACTAAAAGTTTAATTAGCAGAAAAAAACAAATCTATGTTATAGTTTAAAAATTGTGTGGATTTGTATCATTTTTCTCTCTAATCTGTGCTAACCAGTGATAACAAGAAATAAAACTGGTTTTTGAGTTTTCCAGTTAGAGTGGACGAGGCTAAGCATCAGGCTTTCAAAAGATTCAAAATTCTGTCTTTGGTTGATTAATAAGCTGGTGTGAAAGATTGGTGCACCCCCTTCATGGATTCTGACAGTTAGTATAACTCGGGGGTGTTCATTCATTTAAACTGACATCCTGCTGTTACCAGGTTTCTGTCAGGCAGAGTAGTTGATCAATTATGAATTAATGTTCAGTTAATTTCACTGCTTTACTCTTTGTGGAGATGTGGGTGCTATATTGTTCTTTCTTTGTAGTTTTTTTGTGTTAAATTAGTTTTTTTTGTGATTTTTGGTTTGTTTTTTGTCTGGGAGCTGAGACAGTCTCCAAGGGAATGAGGTTCTGGGGGAATAACAGGAGGATTGAATCTTGAAGCCCACATCATTTTTTGGACACCACTCTGACAGCCAGAAATTTAAGGAGAACATGCAGCTAAACATGTCACTCCTGGTCCAATTGGCAAGCAAACCAGCAAAAACGACAGTGTTTTGGCAAAGTTACACACCAGTTTATTATTAATTCTATGTTTGCCCTAAGCCAGCAGTTTTAAATTCCCCTTAATGTCGCTAACTCTGGCCCCTGAAAGACAATTGACAGTAACATTGATTAGTAACAATTGACTTTAGTTGCTAGTGTCTCTAGCTTCATATTCAATGTCCACATTGACTCCCTGAATTGACACAGTGGTCATTGTTTTCCTGGTCCTCTTAAAGTCTGCAATTGTTTCCTTGGTCTTTGTCACATTGATCTACGGATGATTCTTCTTGCACCACACGACAAAGGAGTCCACCACAACCTGGTACTCCATCGCATTACCCCTAGCAATACATCCAACCACCGCAGAGAAAAAGCCTTGGAAGGTGGCAGATCCCTGCAGTGGACGGAGTCTACGGTGTGGGTGAACAGGAAAGGGGAGAGAGTGGTCTCTTGTGGTGCTCTGGTGTTGCTGATTACCTTGTAAGACAGCGGTCCCCAACCTTTTTTGCACCACAGACCAGTTTAATGTCAGACAATATTTTCATGGACCTGCCTTTACGGTGTCACAGGTACCGGTCCAAATTTCGTCAGACAGGTTGCATTTACTATATTTTTCAGACCATAAGGTGCACAGGATTATAAGGTGGACTAAGCGAAACAAAACAGTCAGACTTTACTCAACTCATTCTTCTTGCTTCCGTATCATTGATTCATTAATGCTGAATTCTCTGGCAGCTGCTCTATTCCCATGTTGTTGCAGTACATTAATGACAAACCGTATTGTGGATGGATTATCTCAGTTGTTCTCCTGACTGAAGTTTGGTTTACAGCATCCTGCCATGCGATTGCATTTGTCCCTAACCATCGGGAACCCTCACGTTAACTTTTATTGAGTGGAAAAAAGTTGGCGTTCATCCTCCAGCTATGCTAACATAGCTGTGTCGCTAGCGATCACGTAGCACATCATTATATACCAGCTAGCCCAACTTCAGTGACCCTACAAACGTCACTGCTGTTTAGTTTTCTGTCTTCATTTATGTTGGAAGTGATAGCAGAGCTGTACGTTTGAATTTTCTCAGAAATCTCTCAGTCAGAACATGCTATATCATGTTTAGGTGGAAACTAGCGAGCTAACTTCCTACTAGCTTCTAACTCTGTTACATGTAATAAATTCTGTTTTCATGGATTCCTGGATGTTAAACTTCATAGTTACACCTGGTAAAGCAGCAACACTGATCATTTTATTAAAGATGAAAGAATTTAGACAGTTTTTAACTCTCAGTGATGCTGCAGTGTTCGTTTGACTTTGGGACCTGAACCTACGGAGTTTTGCTCCGCGAGGCTCCTGACTGCGGTAGCTTTAATGCTACGACAATCCATCAAGCGGTGCGGCTTTGTAGCTTACCAAAGTCATACTAAAACATTTTTTGACAGATTTTTGAGCCTACCAAATAAAATCGTTCGAGGTCAGTAAGCACAACCAGAATTCATACATAAGGCACACGGATTATAAGGCGCACTGTCGATTTTTGAGAAAATTAAAGGATTTTAAGTGCGCCTTATAGTGAAGAAAATACAGTAATATTAAAATTTAATGATCTGAAACATGTAAGTATGACAAGAAGCTGTCCATGAATCTCAATGAACTGAAGCACAAATGTTAAGAAGACTGTGTGAAACCATCTGAAGAACTGACAAAGGCATGGTTTACAAGCTACTGAATAATGGAATGTCCTTTGTTTTTTAACAGAACTCCATAAAATACTGTGAAAAAGTTTTAATGCTAAACTTTCAATACTAAGATAAGAGAAAATCTGATGAAATAAAATTCTGATAAATGACTGCTGTCTTTGTTTATTTCTAGGTAAACACTCATACATGGACAGGACCAAGGATGATAGAGGAGAAACCTGCCAGAAGTCCAAACATACATGCTGAATCCTTCTCTCTCATATCAAAATAACTTTTGCTCTCACGATGTCATCAAGACATGAGGTTCCTTCAGATATCAATGTGGATACGTTCCACGATATCCTCAACTCTTCCTCCCCATCCTCACCAACTCAGTCTTGCAGCATAGACGAGTCGTACAAGTACATCTTCCTTCCCATTTGTTATTCCTTCACATTCATCTTTAGCATCTCTCTTAACTCTGTCATCCTCTACCGTTCTTTCCGTCGGACCAAACGCTGGAATGCTTCTTTAATATACATGGTTAACCTGGCCTCTACAGACTTTATGTACGGCCTGTCGCTGCCATTTCTTGTAGGAAGTTACATAATGCGTGACCGCTGGGTTTTTGGGGACTTCATGTGCCGTGTGGTTCGTTTTCTCTTCTACTTTAACCTCTATTGCTCCATCTTCTTCCTCACTTGTATCTCTGTGCACAGATACCTTGGTATTTGCCATCCAATGAAAGTGATAACGCTGGAGACCAAGAAGGCCGTCAAGTGCACTTGTGTCCTTGTTTGGATAATAGTATTTGCTTTGACTTGCCCCATCTTCCGTTTTGCTCAGACTGGTCATGTGACAAGATTAACAGGGTTTGGAAGCAATGTAAGTACTGACAACCCGAGTAATAGCATATCATCAGAAAATGGTAATGCGGGCTATGGTAAATTGGAAGGGGTAATTGAAGAGTACCAGAACTGCTGGGATGATGCCATCGATAAGGAGTTTCCTGATTATGTACCCTATGGCATCACACTCCATTTGCTGGGCTTTTTTGTGCCATTTTCCATAATCGCTTACTGTTATTCTCACGTAGTTCTGACCATATTTAGGACACTGCATTCTCAGCCCTCACTGTGCAGAAATCCAATGGATGAATGCATGGAGAGAAGAGATGGGAAAGCCTCAGCAGTTGTTAGAACGGGAAGAAGACGAAGCAATGGATTGCAGAAGATGGCGGGACGAGATGAAGGGATTTCCATTTCACTTGGTGCGCACTCCCCATATGCCAGTCGAAGGCGTAAATCTATCAAAACTATTATCACTATCACCCTGCTATTTGCTCTGTGTTTCTTCCCCTTTCATGTTACCAGAACCATCTTTCTTTTGCTGAAAGTTACCAAGGGAGTTCCCTGTCACACCATGACGGCAGTCTCTATGTGCTATAAGATTACCAGACCTTTAGCATCGTTCAATGCATGGCTCAATGCCCTTCTTTACTTTCTGACTAAAGATAAAGGAGGAGCTCACTGCTGCCAAGCAGTAAACACCCCTACCCAGCAGCATGCTATGCTACAGTTGCCACTAAGAGTGATGGGAAAAGGAGAGGGTGAAGTGGACAGAGAAACAGAAGACCGTATTGACAAAAAAGAGAATAAAGCATGTCAAAGTCCATCATATATGAACAGAGCAAAAGTTAAATATGTAGCTGAATGAACTTCAGATGCACTGCTGGATGTTATTTATAGACACCAATAAGCAACACATTAGTAACAAGTGAATCAGTCCTGCTTCATGTTAATCATTTATGTAAATCTCATTTTGAGATCCACTACCCACATCTTGGTATAGGGACTCACTGACATTGGTTTTACCTAGCTGGACAATATGCATTGCAATACCACGAAATGTACTCAAGGAACATGCCAAACCAGTAAAGACACTGTCACCAGCTGCTAAGCTCCCTGGATCCCAATCAAATTCAACATCTGCAATACATACCGGGAGAAGTCTTGATTCCCTGGGCCAAACCTTCAACTCCAGAAGACCTACTGGCAACATCCTCCTACCAGACACCAGTAAACACCAGATGTCCACCATACCCTGACAACTGGAATCAGAGAACACAGAAGACTGAAATTAACAACTATAAATATCCACGCATATATACAAGGGAAACAAACAAATGTCACCATTTTTAGACTCAGTGAAATCGAAAGCCAATATCACAGACTGTACATAAAAGATCGAAGTACCAACGGCAAGATTTGTGAAAGCAAGCAGAGGATGTTTTGTAACTTCCCCCAAGGGAATACTTCATCAACTACTGTTGGCTGAATCCTGTCAGAATGCTTATTTATTGCTACTGTCGATGTAACGTTTACACAATAGTTATAAACTTTAATTCTGCAGGTTAAAAATGTAAATGTATAGCCATAATATTTTAATCTCTTCATGTAAAATAAAATAATGTATGATATTCTTAGTCTCATGGTTTCTTCTTGCAGACACATGATACAATCAAGCATTAAATGTTTGTTAAATCATGGTGTGTCACATCAGTACTACATAAGGTTGCTGCTCTGTACAGGGAATGAAGCTACACCTTTAGTTACAAAACCAGCAAACCACTTGCATCCCTACACGTAACGATTTTGCAACAGGATGTCACAGTTTAAGGCTTCAGTCCACGATTCCAACAAGCTGAAATAAGAAGCTGCGTGTTTTAAATTTATGGAGAATGAAATAAATGATCCAGTATGTGTAATACTAATATGATATATACAGGTGAGTTCTTTAAAAATGTTTCCTCATGCACAATTGTCACTAAGGGGAAATTAGCTGTTGGACTATTTGTACCAGTCTGTAAACGTGTTTGTATATGTAAGTTTACGAAGGAAATGATCCCATTGAAAATTGAAAAATTCAATTTGACTTAAATTTGGTGGCCTGTGGATAGAATTAATGGGTGATGCCTGAGGAGCTACTCCTTTGATATCTGTCTAAGGTCGCATGTTTCATTCTCAAGGCTTCCATAACAAATGTGGCCTTTGGCAAAGTTTATTGCAGCCTGCATATAGCATAGGTTCCCAGTAAATATTTGTTTATTGTTGTATGCACAACACATGCGAGCCAGCACAGAATCACACAGTAAAGGGAAGCCAATTCTGAAGACAGCCAGCCTCAAGTAAGGCGATTGGCTGACAGTTCAGTTTGTTTGTTTTAAGTGTAAAAAGAAGCCTTTGTAACTACTTGATGTTTTTTATTATCAATTTTTTTCATTCACAAAATTAAGACAGTCTGGTACATTTAGCAAAAGTATTTTACTTAAACACTTTAATATAATTTCCATCATTGTCTGTCTTGATGCATGCTCACTCATCCAAGTAAGTAAATCCCAAAAGCTGATTCAGTTCATCTGGACGTTTTCAGTGGGAGAAACTTTTTCACTCATCCAGGTGACTTCTTCAGTCTCAGCGGGTTTCCCCAATCTTATCAACAGTACATTTGCACAACGACTGAAACTAGCACAACTGTGGGCTGTGAGGTCATTTCCTTGATCATCAATATGCAAATTGTCACGACCATTGATTAACAACCACTGATCAAAGCCCATTGATCAATGGCCATGAGTACCAATCACAGAGAGTTGGGGAATGGCTGCAATCACAGCATTGTAAGTCAAAGTTTTTGGCTTCAATCTTCAACCTTCTGGTGGGCAGCTCTGAACACCACATCCTGAACACCCTGGATTTTGTTGAGAAAGTGAGAGATGTCATTATGGAGGCAGATGAAACCATGGTCTCGTACGATGTTACATCTCTGTTCACTTGCATCCATTGAAGTGTTGGAGATAGTCCGTAAGAGATTACAGGATGACCCCAACCTCAGCAACAGGACCACTCTCAGCATCGACCAAGTAATAATAATAGTAATAATGAACTTTATTTATAAAGCACACTAACAAACCAAGGGTATACCAAGGTGCTTGACAAAATAAGGAGATGGCGGTGGGAGGGAAAAGGGAAAGAGAAAGGACCTGGCATTTATCAATTATAAAACCATGACAATCATAATACATAAAAGTAGTTAACAAAGCATAAAGGATAAAAATGTATCAGCACACAGCAGATATTATCTAGGTGGAAAAGCAAGATCAAATAAATAAGTCTTTAACCGTGATTTACACAATGGCA